ATATATATATATATATATTATTGGTTTTATGCATTAACTTTAGGATAGAGGCTATTATCCCTCCTATAGAAGTTGAACTCCCCTCATTGTGTATTTCTCTTAATCACTAACTTACAAATGTTCATAATGCCCTTCTATAGCTTAAGGAGTTTAAGAATCATGATGAATTTCTACACCAATCTCAATAGAACCTCAAGCTTTACTATGATCAAATGTTCCAAGCATATGACATGTTGATTCAACCCATGAATTTATTGTTGGAATGCTTGCGATGGTCTTACACAAGCTGACAAGCCCATAATGACACATCCACAAAGGTGACAAGTTTGAGCTTTTATGGAGCTAGGTTTCTTTATTATAGAAAAGTTATATAAAGGTTGATCTTCCTAGAGCATCGACCATGCAAGCATATATCTAATGCCACTTATCAATTGATGATATCTTAAGTAATAGTATATTTGATAACATTTCAACATGTTTAATTTAGCCATTATGAATAATCCATTACTATCATGTGAGAAATGCTTACTTAGTTTAAACAAAATTATGGTAAAAACCAAGTGGTTGGTGATATCAACCTGGCCAATTGTCTTGTGCTTCGTTTGAGATAATTTTTTTATTGCTTTGCTTTTTAGACCGCAACCATAATTTTTGTTTGATTACTACTTTTTTGTTGTTTTCAATAAATTTTTATGCTATGAAGCTACTTTTTAAAACAATTTTCAAGAAAATTACTCTCCTTATAATAGCTTTATAATTATCTTTATGAAAAGCTACAACAACCCCAAATGAAGCTTGATGTGAACATGTTAAGTTCAAGCAATATGGTTGCCTAAAATGAACTAAGTGAGATAGTGCTTAGAATCTATCGAGTAAAACAATTATATTGAAACTCTTAATTATTGCCCGCACATAAGATCATACGTGATTGCCTTTTTTGCTCAGTATATGACACATCAATGACTTATATTATATAGGATTCATTTGGTTATTCTATACCTTTCCTTAATGCTTGAGAGAACAGAGTTTTCTAATTAAGAAGTTAATATCATAAAGTTTTTGAAAACAATACATAGATACAGTTATCTAAAAAGCATTTCTGCAAAAGTGGCACATACAAACAACATAAAAAAAATTTCTGTCGTTTCAAAACTAAAAAGTCGAAATTAAGCCATCTCAAACGAGGACATATTCAAGGATAAAAGACTAGCCAATTTTAGCAGGATTCTAAAATGGCTGACATTTATGCTAGAATTTTAAAAAATATACAAACATATTTACACTAACATATATGCAAACAATTTTCGTCTATGTAACAATGCTAATTATGCATACAAATCCTTTCCATTAATACTTTAATTACAATGATTAATACTTTAATTACAGTGATTAATACTTATATGTACAAATCACTTTGATTTATCCTCTTAATAATTTCTTACAACATAAATACAATCAAATCACATTATCTACTTCATAATTAATTAATTAATTCATATTTCAAAATCATCACGTGCAAACAAAGTAGGCCCCACATAATTCCTCTGGTAAATGTTTCTATTTTCCTGTGCAGTAATTGGGAGGATGAAGAAACCTCTTCTAGGCTTGATCTGACGGCTGATATCAGCCCATCCCAGCGCCTATGAATTTAGGCCACACGATTTGTTCTGGTTGTTGACCGTCCGATACCAGCTTCCTGTCCATCCAACCGTCCAATATTAGAATTTGATTTTCAAAAGCAGAGGGAGAGAAAAAAAAATAGAGAGAAATAGAGAGAGAGAGAGGCTATAGCTACCCCTTCAGCTCTGCTTCGCCTTCTCAAAAATTTTCCCGCAGCTTTTACAGAGGAAGAGAAAGAGTAGAAACGGAGCGTAAAGGGCGAAAATAATCCCGGAAAAATTGTTCCTTTGTCGTTCGTTTAACCCCCTTTGCCTCGCCGGATCTCCACCTTGCGATTTTTCTCCGGCTGGGCTGATTTCCCTTCCATTCGATCGATTCCTGTTGGCCGCATCTGCCTTTTATAGAGAAGGGGGAATTGAAGGAAAGCCCTTGGATAGATGGGGAAGCAGGGATGTTAACAACGGAGGTGACAGGTTCGTGTGTCAAGTATACTTGGCCCTCGCGTTATCCATTTGTTTTGCCGTTAAATGGAGCAAGGAATTCAATCGGCTTCACCGGCGGCGTCGGATTTACCTCCGAAGAAGCTCGTTCGGCAGTTGGATTTCACGACAGCGTACTGCGGGGTTCCGGCGGTGGGGGCGGGGACGCTGCCCTATGAACATCAGCAATTGCCACCGTTGCAGAAGCAGATGCACGCGTCTCCGCTTCCCACCCCGCGTCCTTCGATTCCCATGTCCATGTGAGCTATGCGAATTTCAAAATTTACCCTTTTTTTATTTTAACGCCAGTTTCGTATTGCTTGTTGATTGGTTTTGCGCGCAAAGGTTTTTTCCTTCTTGTTTAGTTGTTAGCATCGTGGTTTCTGTATCTATTTTGAATCATTTTTGCATTTTTTCCTTTCAAATGATTTGGTTGTACCTTCTTTCTATTTTTGACCTCTGAATTTTTGAATTTTGAGGGGTTGTCAGGTTGGTTTGTGTGTTTTTTTCCTTATAGAAGTACTGTGATTTGGATCTTCTTGCCGATTTGAATCTTGATATCGGACTTCTGATTTGAAAATTTAATGGATGGTTTATGCGATACAACATTGTTGGGAAAAAGCAGCAAAAGATCTCCATTTGACGTGAACTCTCCAGTTGAATGCTTCCTAGGAGGCATTTAGTTAGGGCAGTGGGATTAGGGGATAGGTCCGATTTGAAACACTTGTAGCAGTCACAAACTTTTTTTTTCTGTGATGTGTATACATTTTAGTCATCTAATTTGCAGGGATTACTACATTGTTCAACTTTGAAAGATTATTCTCATAAGAAATATAAGAATTTAGGCTGTTTTACAGCATTTTTGAAGATAAAAATGCTACAGCGATTGGTTCATAAAGTTCTATTCAGATTGCCTCAGCATTAGTTCTTGACTTGTATATAGCTAGCTGTATATGTTTATTGGCATTCTTTGAAAATATAGATCGATATTCATTCTTTTCAGAAGACTTTCCCACCCACTAATAGGACTCAATGTGCCTTACATTGTAAAGTTTCATGAAGCTGCGAACTCCCATGTAATTCTTTGACCTTTTTGCAGAAAACCTGAATCGCCAAAAGGAAGGTCAAGGCCTTTATTTGAGATGAAAGAAGGTACTCCAACAAGAAAAAAGAACTGTAACTGCAAACACTCAAGATGCTTGAAGCTGTAAGTATAGTGCATTCGATCAATTTTAAATTACTCTTCTGTCAAAAAAGTATATGGACTAACAACTGGTATTGTTTTAGGATTTAAAATATGTTTCTGAACTAATAAATTATATATTTTTTGTAAGAATTGGATAAAATACTGCCTGTGGTATAGTTGCAGCGTTATTCAATTACTTTTCTATCAATATATTATATTCCTATGAATTTATATGGTTGATGAGTCCATGGATTTTTACAATCTTACAACTACATTTGACTTGACTTATTTCCTAGAGCCCATCCTTGTTTCTGTAACTTTTAATGTTCTTTTGTCATCACCCACATTTAAATTATTCTTTAATAACTAACATATCTTCAACATTTGAGGCATTAAGGCAACATATTTAAATATGCATGTCTTGGTAATGGCTCCTACCTAGGAGGCGCGCTATGGCCTTCCCTTGCCTTGTCTGACTCCTATACTATTGCCCGACTTATTTTAGCAGTACCAAAACTTACATACAATTAAGGTAACAAAGCTGAAAAGAAGGTTTGTGAATCATATTGAATTGCATGAAGTGGCCTAACTTATAGCTTGAACCTGGCAATCTTACTTTCATTGCTGGATCCAATCCTGCTCTATTATAGGGATGTTTTAGAAGACATTGAAAAGTTTGCATTTTGAGTATTAAAATAGTTGTTGTTTATGTTGTTTAGTTTGATCATTTGAGTGGAATTATTATTCATATATATGTCATGTAGCGCTTCAGTTGGAAAAAGAAAAAACTTTCTTTGCATTTTGAGCCTTTTTTAAAGCGAATAAGACGCCATCTTCTTTGTTTCATGTGTTCCTGTTTGAAAAATTGCTTGAAGTCCTCAAAATCCATACTTCTCTTTTAGTTTGACTTCCCTTTGAAATCCTTGAGGAAATGGAACATATTCAATCTAAATTATTGGTTCACTTTTAGGCTTCGTTTTGGACAACTTTTTTACTACTTCTTAAAACAGCTTTATAGTACAAAAAATTTAATTTTTTAACTAAAAAGCTATTTTTAGAAGCAAGAAAAAAACTGTCCCAAATGAAACCTTTATCTGAATGCAGGAGAATGATTCATACAATTAGGTCATTTCACCAGCAAGTTTCTCATTAATAGATAACAGCTATTTTACCATACATGAATAATTCTGCAATGGCAGTCAGCTTTTGTACGAATTCTCATTTTGTAAATTTTTGGTAAAAGTAAGCAAAGAATAATAAAAAGAATTGATATTCACTTCCGCATATGTTGTAATGTAAAAATCTGTTTGCATGTTTGATTCCAACATTTTGATTGTTGCCAGTAGATTTGTATACTTTGATGCTGTGGTGCTCAGTTAGGATGATTTTCTGCTTATTTTATTCCTCAACAAAAATTTTCTCAATTGGCTATGCTCACACTATTGATTCCCTTATTACTTTGAAAGTTTGTTTATTAATGTGACATTTCCCAATTTAACTTCTGCATTTTCTTTCATATTTCCATCATGCATTTTTATGTTGATTTAACTGCGATAACAAACTTTTAGGTATTGTGAGTGTTTTGCATCTGGAGTTTTTTGTGATGGGTGCAACTGTGCGAATTGTTGCAACAATGTTGAGAATGAAGCTACTAGGCACGAGGCCGTTGAAGCTACTCTAGAACGCAATCCCAATGCCTTTAGGCCTAAGATTGGCAATAGTCCCCACTCAATTCGAGATAGTAAGGTATGCTATCAACAAGCGCCAACCAATTATTTCCTTTATGGTTCCATCTAGCAACGTTTGCAGAAATATTCCACAGCATCTAGATACTATTTTTTTACATTCTATGCATAAATTACCTACATTAGTTTGCATTCTCTGCATTATTTGTTCTTGCAGCTTAAACTATTGCAATAGAAGTAATTTTGATGGTTGTATATCAACTTCTGGACTTTTCCTTAGTTTATATGCTAAATATTTGTATTTATTATGTTTATTTTGTATGTTTACATGCCGATTTTATGTTGATCGTGGTGTCCGATATTGGAAATTCTCTGATATGAAGCTTTTACTTAATTATGATGATAAGACTACTTATATCTTAAAGAATATTTACATAATCACGCTATCATCATTAAAAGTCGATATATCTGTTAAATTGGTTACTATTTATGATATATGACATTTAACATTTTTCAAACAATTTTTTAGTATTGTTTATCAAACATATTGGTATTAATATTTATCTTTTTTTTTCTCGACTTGATGTAAATTTTCTGTGATCTCAATTGATATCAAAGGATCAGGTTGGCCTCAAATAATTTCTTGTTTAGTATTTTCTGTACAAATATCTAGCAGCAAAGATGCCTAGATATTTAATGTTGACATAGGTGTTTGGAACACTTGTTTTCCTCTTTCCTACTATATTTGTTGTCATAGTGTTGCTGTATACTTCAGTCTTTTCTTTCTTTTAAATGGCTACTTTTGCTATGATCTCTAACAAAAGTTTGAGTTCATTAGTTTTGTGGGTTTTGAAGTTTAGGTTTGATTTTGATTGCTTTTTTATTATATAATATTAAAAAAATCTATTTATGTATTGAAACAAATAGGAAGATTATCCAATTGGGGCCCAAGTTATTATGAATATGAAATTTAGGCTTCGTTTGAGATGGTTTTTTTACTGCTTCTTAAAACAGCTTTCAAGTACAAAAATTATAACTTTTGTATTAAAAAGTTGTTTTAAGAAACAGTAAGAAAGCAGTCCCAAACGAAGCCTTAGTCTGATCTCAATGATAGAATTCTATTAGTTACTTGAAAAATGCTCAAGAGTTTTAGCAAAGTTTATATTTAAAACCTCAGTTTTGGGCAAAAATCTGAAATCTTGTCTGACATTTCAGATCAAAATTGAAAATATAATGAGTTTTAGATCAGTCAAAACTGAAATGGATTTGAAACCACCAAAATTGAAAGCCATGCTTCAAGTTAGTAGTCATTTTAACTTCACTTCAATTGTTTTTTTTATAAAGTGACAATTGATATCAATGTGTTTTGAACAATCATCTAAAATGGGATTAGTAGTCATTGCTGAAGCACTTCTGCTATTAGAATATAAAAGTGATATTTCTAATCGTAGTTTAAACAAATGTAGAATTTTTCTAACCCTAGTATTTTAAGCAATTATAGAAGCCATCACTTTATATTCAGCACCAACATTATTGATCTTGCAACAATTTCCCGTTCACTACTTTTTTTCAAGATATTAGGTTTTGTACAAGGAAAATGTTATAACCTGTGAAAGTTTTTTTATTATCTGGATCTCTTGCACAATTTGCTTCAGAAATCTCTATCATCTGGTAAGAGACATCTTTTTTTAGCAAATTCTACATAATGTATTATGATTTCATTCACATATCTCATCATTCTCTTAAGAGCTTGTACGTGGATCTCTGTTTTTTAATACATAGATTGTGTTGCTTTTTTGGGAGAATTTTTTCTAAAAAAATATTATAACTAGGAAATGATATGAGTACTCTAAGGACACTTACTAAGAATTGCTAGAAAAAAAGTATAGAAAACAAGATAAAGATAGCAAGGTAGCCTGGGATTTGAAATCGTCAGGAACATGAAAACTATAAAATGACTCATTTAGATTGCCTTACTTGAAGTATGGTGAAAACATATAAATGGCGATAGATTTTTTTTTTTGTTTAGTTAATGTTTTCTCTGGTAAATAAAATTTGAAACCTCTTATTCACTAGAAACTAGAAAGTTAACACTAAAGTACTCTCATATGAATCATAAGATTTTTGGGCATCATCATCATTTTTTTTTCATAAATTGGAGGGAGCTGAATGATGGAGACATCGACAGGAGATTCCAGCGCGTTTATCAGAGACGACGCCGGAGATCGACGACCCTGATGGAGAGCCCTTACTACTGATGATTATTTGTATTTGTATTTTATGTATTATGCATTTATTTTTAGTTTTTCCATTTTTACCCTTATGGGTATTTGTTTGCTTTTGTAGCCCAAGGGGCATATTAGACTTTTGTACTTGTTGTCATGTGGAGCCTATATATATTGCTCTTGTATCTTGTATGAGGATGATTGATGAATGAAAAAAAATTTATTTTGTTGTTCACTTTGTGAGTTCACAATCTCCTCTTGATCTCTTGGTGAGTTCTTGAGGAGAGAGCGTCTTAGATCTCTTCGTGAGTTCTAGTGGAGAAAAAGTCGAGGTTTGTGTGCTTGAATTTCTCTTTTCCTCTTCCCAAGATCCATAGCCTTCTCTCCCGTGAAATTCTCCACACAATACCCTCCCAAATCCCCATCCCGCCGCCCCTCCCCAGATACCCGCCGGCTGCAGCACACCCACCACCGCCGGCCTCCCTTGGCAGGCCCAGTTCCCGGCGGTCCTCCTAGCCATCAAGCCGACGGCCTCCCCTCCATCGTTTCCATGGCCACCCCCACACTATCCTGCCGGCCACCTTGTTCCTAGGAAGTGAAATCCAAATTTCAAACGCCTCAAATACTTTCCTAATTTACTTCTTGACTCCTTTGGAAAGTGGCCTTTTTATTTTATTCATTTACCTGTTGGATTCCAACGGATCCAAGGCTCAATACAAGTTAGGAAACTTTCTTAGCTAAGCAAATCTGAAATCAGATTTCAGATTTTTTTTTTCTACCACCGTGAATTATTCTCTTGAGGGCCCATTTAATTGATATTAATTGCTCTCTCTCAAATACTTATGGCCGGCCCCTTAATTGGCCCTTCTCTCTCCAAATTAAATTAATTGCTCCACTAAATCAGCCCCCAAATTCCTCCCTTTTGCCGCCCATCTCCTCCCCTTGGATTGATTTGAATTTTCAAATTAAGTCCCTCCCATAACCACTCAAAAATCTGAAATTATTTCAGATTTCATGCAATTAACTGTTGCTCTCCCATCCTAGCCGATCCCTCAATATTTCTTGCCGACCACACCTCCTCTCCTCTTTGTGTTGTTGAGCTCCACCACGAGAAGACTATTCTACCACCAAACTCATCCACAAAGCATCTCATAGTCATGCATGGCGGATCCAGAACTTGAATGGGGACTTGTGTTCGACGCCTACGGTAATATCAACATCCTACGGTCTCCATTCTTCGACGTGGGATTTGAACACGACGACACCATTGGAGATTACTTGGATCGAATTCTCCCCGTCCTTGTGTCCTTCATCGACCGTCAATTTTCAGACTACACATGGATCATCAACAGTCATCCCACCGTACCACCTCCACCTCCGAGTTCCTTCTCAACAATGACGTTCCTTGGCTCCTCCCTCCTCGTGGCGACCTCATTTCTAGCGTGGACGCTCTTCCGCCGCTCAACCTAGTTTCGTAGGAAAGAGAGAGAAAGGCCTCAAGGTGAACAACTCATTATTAATCATCGGATTCAAATTACTAGCTTTTAACTTTACGTTCTTCTTTGTATTTGCTTAAATCGTACGGTTAATTTCCTTGTAATTTCTTTGCCTAAGCAAGTGGAACACAGAATTTTTATAGCCAACTTTGAATTGACGCATGCTTTTATATGAGGTTAAGCTATTAGTAAATTTTCTTTCATAATCTTGTGTAACTCAACCGTGCATCACATCATTTTGGTATCAGAGCATGGCTAGCATGCTTTACATTTGCTAGATGCATCCTAGGAATTTTATTTTAATCTGTCCTTAGTGTTTGCATGCATAACAATCATCTAGATAGTTGTAATCCCTGTTTTATTTTGCTGTCCAGTAATTTCCTGCATGTTTTATCATTGTAAACAAGCATATTACAGCATATAAGAGTTGTCTTTGTCACTTGCCACCCACCCAATCACTTAGGACACTTGTCACTTTAGAATACTTTGCTGTCCAGATTTTTCTGCACTGTTTAGTGACATCTAAGTGACCTTAAACCTTTGATAAGTTGCTGTCCACACCTTGAAACCTGTCATTAACACTTAGGCACATTAGGCCCTTGTTGTAGGTTGCTGTCCACAACATTTCAGCATCATATAGAGGCCTTAGGAGCATTTACCCTAGTGTTTAAGTGCTGTCCACCACCCCGTTACTTCCCCTAGCAACCCCTAACCTTTCACCTATGGATCCGGAACATATCCAAGCGACTTTAGACCTCATAGTGGGCCAATTGGGAACTGTTACGCAGCAAATCCGCAACACCCAGACGGACCTAGCGGACTTTAGGTGCCAAACGAGTGACCGACTAGATAATATTGAGCGTATTGGGAATCCTGCTATCTATACACCTTCAAGACCACACTCACCCTATGGCGATGATAACATGACTGATCATGACCATCCCCGAGATCATGGCCATCCTCGAGACCATTACCGTCATAACCCGAGACCCCATCAAGACCCCATAGGAAACGAGAACCCTTGGAGATTGAGATAACGACGCTCAATTACTAAAGAACATTAGAATTGACGCCCCGACATACGGTGGAACCCTTGACCCTCAAGTTTTCTTAGATTGACTCAAATCGATGGATAGCTATTTCAAATGGTACAACATTTCAGAAGCTAGGAAAGTTAGATTTGCTGAAATGAAGCTCACTGGTCGAGCCAACCTGTATTGGACCAACTTGGAGAATATGCATGAGGCTCGAGGCGAACACCCTATCAACAATTGGAGAACTATGAAGCAGGAACTTAGGAGAAAATACCTCCCGCCATCCTACTACCCTAAGCTCCTAGA